GGATTGAACACCTCTAAGTCGAATGAAACCGAACTATTGTTTCATTTTTCAAAACATAATAGAAATAATAGCTTCATCCCGCGCAATGCGCGGATCTTATCCTAGTAAATTAGTAAACACGAAGGAATTTAATGAATGGCGAAATGTGAGTTTCTATCAAGCCTAAGTATACAATTGCCTTATTTCATCTCCTATCATATTTAGAGTCACATTGTCACAGAGTCATTTATTAAAAAATATTATATATTTAAATAAAAGAATAAAAAACAAAAAAAGCTTCTATCACCTAATAAAATGATCAAATCTAGAATTAATATCAAAACACTAAATTTTGAAAATAAAAAATAAAACAGAAGCATGAAAGAAATTTTTTTATATTCTTCCATATTTAGTGTTCATCAAACCAATACGTCTTCGATTGAACACAACTCTGTTTGTTTAAAGATAAAAAAAAAGTTGTAAAGAATTTCAACTAATTGTTGTCCATCAAATTTATAATCTTTACTTCAATTTAGTTACTGTTAAAAAAGCAAAAGATCAAAATAAGATGTCTCAATTGTAATAAATTGTTAGCTATTTACAAATTATAATTATAGTTCAACTCATGTAACAAATAGATATTCATGCGTCGTTATAAATATATATATATTTACATGTTTCAGTTTAATCGGTTATAAATCAAACCATATTCAAATCCTATGGTTTTTATAAAATCACATCCATTCGGTTTGGATGGTATATACCAAAAATAATCATATTATCAATTGTTAATATCTTTTAAAAATATAAAATTAAAAAAAGAACTAAGATATTAAAATCCTTGATAACAAAAAATTTCAATGTGAAAAATTGATTAAGTTTATAATTTATAAATGTTCTTGAAAATTTATTGAAAACTTTGAAATTAAAATATTTATCTAATCTTATATGGTATATAGTTTAATTTGTATATATATGTTTTTATTATTGAATGATACTTTTTACTTATATAGTTTTAAAATCATGTATATCTTTTTATAATAAAAATTTTAAACTATTGATCATTAATTTTTAACATAATAATTTTAATAGTTTAGTTATTTATTCTCATTTTTAAAAATTCAAAATATAACCTATACGAAAAAATCTAAAATTTAATTTTATAGCTAATTTGATTGTTTAATTTATTTTAATAATGTAAAATTAAAGAAAAATGATGGAGGATATATNCTCATTTTTAAAAATTCAAAATATAACCTATACGAAAAAATCTAAAATTTAATTTTATAGCTAATTTGATTGTTTAATTTATTTTAATAATGTAAAATTAAAGAAAAATGATGGAGGATATATAAACTGTTATCAAATATTTATTATTAGAATCATTAAGTGTCATATATATATATTAGTCATTTATGGTAATTCCGTACGTTTTATTTATGGAAAGAAAATAAAATAGTAATTATATCTAGGGGATCAATCATTAAGTCATATATATATATATTAGTCATTTATGGTAATTTCGTAGATTTTATTTATGGAAAGAAAATAATGTAAACTCGGTTTGATGTGTGGGATATATATTAATGTAAACTCGGTTACATGCGTTACATGCGTCTGTAATTATTGTTTCCCTAGAAAATTTCAATTGAACCTAAAGCTGCCACGTCAGTTTAATTGGTATGCTAATTGATTGACAACTAAGCAATGTTACTTTTTAATTATTACAGACTTGAGGTTACATCTTTTCAAATGTTTCTCAATTAATATATAGGGGATATAAATTTTAATGGTACACTAGGTATTTTGCTTGCGCTTGCAGACATGATTCTTTTATGAATATTTATTAGTTGATGTTTCATTAATTTATTACTTATGTTTTCAAAAAGTATAAATCAAACATCAAATAATTATAAATAACAGAACTCAAACATCAGAAATATTTAAAATAATATATTTCTATAATTATTTTGCTTGATTTATATTTAATTATAATATTTTACAAATATTTTAAAAAATATTTTTACTTAATTTATATTTAATTATAATTTTTATATCTTAATTTTAAATTTTATAACAGAAAAACATAGTTTCAAGATAACAATATAATGGATAAGTTATTTATTTTCTAAAAATATAATATGATAATTTCGTTTTAATTATATTTTAATTATATAAGATTATAGAAATGATGACATATAATTAAAATTACTTAAAATCATGTAGGACATAACAAATCTGTAAATTCACTTCTTAAATAATTTTGTTTGAAGGATGATATTTAGTTAATATATTTTCAAGATGACAACATAATACATAAGAATTACTTTCTTTTCTAAAAGTATAATATTATTAGTGTAAATTTATTTTAATTATAGAATACCTACAACTTTTTATATCTTAATTTTAAATTTCTAATAGAAAAATATATTTCAATACAACAACATAATACATAAGAAGTATCATATTTTCTAAAAATCTGATACTACTAATATAATTTGTTTTAAGTATATAATAAATTATATATATATATATATATAGAAATTATGATAAATTATCAAAGTTACCTAAAATCATGGAAAATATGATAAATCAGCAAACATCAATTCACTTCTTAAATAATAGTATAGATATTTACATGTTAGTTTTAATTTTTTTAATAAAAAATATATTTTCAAGATAACAACATAATACATAAGAATTAATTTATTTTATAAAATATCATATTATTAATAAAAATTAGTTTAACTATATAATCAATAATAAACAAAATTAAAGAAATTATGATAAATGATCAAAATTACCTAGGATCATGGAGAAGTTGACAAATCAACAACTTCTCTTTTCAAATAATTGTTTTGATGATTTATATTTAATTATTAATAATATAATTTTATCTCTTAATTTTAAGTGTTATGATATTTTCAACATAAAAACATAATACATAAGAATTATGTTATTTTAGTAAATATAAAATTATTAATATAAATTCATTTTAGTTGTATAATAAATATAATAATTTATATCTTAATTTAAAATTTAAGTTATATATATAAAAATATAGTTCAAAGTAACAACATAATTCATAAGAATTATCTTATTTTCTAAAAATATGATATATTCATATAAATTCGTTTTATTTATAAATAAATTATAAATAAATATTAAAAATATGATAAATAAAAAAAAATTATCTAAACTTATGAAGAACATGACAACTAAGCAAATTTACTTCTTAAATAATAGTATAAATATCGTAATTGGCGAATTTCACCTTTTAGTTTTGGCAAAAAAAAATACTCAGATTTAAATTCCACTCGATTTTTAGTACGTTAACACTAGGATTGGTTTTTGGTTTAATTCAGTTTGGTTTGCCTTGATAACTTTCTATGATAAATGAGAAAATAAAGAAAACATCAAATGAAAATGACGAATTTCAACAGATGAATTTGATAATTTTTATGTTCTAATAAGAAAAGGTAAACCATGCATACATACAAAAGTCACATCTACAACGTTGTCTTCTGTTTGTAACTGTAATTAACAGCAGAGAAAACATAAACCAATGCATTCAAAATACTTAAACCGGCCAGTAACCAAAAGAAGTAATCAAGATGTCCCTCGTTTAGATCATCCGTAATCCACCCATCTCCACCGTCCTTGGTCGTGACATAAGTCACAACCGTGAGAATCAACGAGCTCAAGTAACTCCCCAACGCATTAGCCAACATTCCCAACGCACTACACACACTCCTCATCGAGTCTGGTGACTGACCATAAAAGAACTCAAGCTGTCCTACAAAGTAGAAAACCTCTGCTGCACCAAATATAAAAATCTGCGGAAGCTGCCAAAACACGGTTAAAGAAACCTCGGTTCCGGTTTTCGCCATACCGAGCCTAACCATCTCAAGTATAGCTGCTGCTGCTATACCGAAGATAGAGATGAAAAGACCTATTCCCATTCTTTGAAGCACGGTGAAGCCATTGTCGGTTCTTGTGAGAAGTTTAGCGACCGGGACGTTGAACCGGTCGTAGAGTGGGACCCAAATGAGGACGGTGATGCAGTCGAAGACCCCGAGAGTCGCTGGAGGAATCTTGAAAGAGCCGACGTTGCAGTTCATGGCTCTTCCTTGTTGGACAAGCATGGTGGTTGCTTGAGCGTAGAGAGATGAGAAGATGATACCTGAAGCCCATATGGGGAGCATTCTAATAAGAATCTTGACTTCTTCGACCTGTGTAACGGTGCATAGTCTCCATGGATTGTATAAATCTAAGGATCTTGCTTCTTCTGCTGATAAAACAGCAGCTTTATCAAGATACCTGCATTGACATGGTATACTAGAGTTTAGGGTTTAAGGTTTAGAGTTATGTCTGAACAAAGCTGGTCTGAGATTTAGAGGACTACATACATTTTTAGGGTAATCTTAATTAAAAAAAAATCAATAATTTTGGGATTATGAGACACTATGTATAGTAGTTTTTTTTTTTTAATTGGGAACTTGCACGAATGTTCATCTGGTTGTGCCTAAAATCGAACTTAATACAAACTGAATGAAATGAATGATGAGAAGAGAAAAAGATTACTTGTAATCATCAGTATGCTGGAGTTTCCTACTAGCAATGACCACTGAACTCGGTTCTTGTGCTTCGTTTTCATACAGAAGTGTTGTGTCTTCAGGGACTTTAAGACTCGTTTTATGATATGAAGCGACAAGAACTTGACAAATCCTTGTGATGGGACTACCTTTAGGTTTCTGAAACCTATAGAGTGGAGTGCCAAAGAAGAAACTGATGATAGCTAATCCCATGAACACAGTTGGTGTACCAAAACCTAATCCCCAGCCGATATTCTCTTGAACAAACACAAGAAGAAACGATCCAAATGCTCCGATGTTAATGCAGAAGTAGAACCAGTTGAAGAAAGAAGACTTTCTAACACGTTCACTCGGGTCCTTGTCGTCAAACTGATCAGCACCAAAGGAGGAGACGCACGGTTTGATTCCTCCCGTGCCGAGAGCTATAAGGTAAAGCCCGAGGAAGAAGGTTAAGTACTGAGTTGTGGTTGGTGATGGGCAGAAGTCTCCGATGCAGTCAGAGGGTTTCAGATATGGAACCGAAGCAGAGAGAGTCAGAGCAGTCATTCCCTAAACATCAAAACAGAGTTCAACTACAAGGACAACAAACAGAAAGACAAGATCGGAGATTCTTGTGAAAGTTTGGAGACTTACGATGAAATAAATGGAGGAGAAAGAAGCAATGGTCCAGTATCTACCCCAGTAAGCATCAGCTAAGACGGCTCCAATGAGAGAAGTGATGTAACAAGTTCCTTGCCATGTCGTGACGTTTCTGGCGGCGGAAACGTTTCCTTGGTGGAGTTCAGCGGTGAGATAAGTGATGAGATTGAGAGCAATACCGTAGTAAGCCAACCGCTCACAACATTCATTGCCTGCACATTTTTTACAGAGACGAGAACTCAAAAAAAAAAAAAAAAACTAAAAAGACAGTGAAACAGAAGTTAAAAAGAGTTGACCTAGAATAAAAGGACAAGCTTTCCAGTTTCCAGTTTTGTGCTTTAACGGTGAGTTTCCATTGATGTCTATGGAACCATCTTCTGCATATAGTTTGAGTTCCTCCTGGTCAATGTAATCGAGTTTTGTTTTTAAAACACAACTATTTTGACTTTAATAAAACCAAATTAGAGCAAATCTAATCTAACTAAACCAACAAGCAGACAAACAATGCTCATCATTAATGAAACCCTAAGAAACAAAATTATAAACTTAAACCCATTTGAGAAGGAGAGCTTGAACCTGTATTGAGCCTTGTTCGATGAGGAGTTGCTCTTCTTCGATGGAACCCATAGTTTTTGCCACAGAAACTCTGATGATGAAAAAAAAAGAAAAAAAAAAGAAAACTCTGATGATGATTCACTCAGACCATTTTTTACAATTGGACTTGTACCAACCACTAAGTGATCCAGAAAAGTATTTATATATATACTAATATAACCAGATATATATAGTTAATTCTTTTATTAATAAACACAGTTTTATCATATGAGTATAATAGTTTTTTTATATCATAAGGTATTATATGCAATATATTAGCTTTATAAGTGGACATACTACATAGACAAAAAAAACATAAACATAAATCTCTTAGTATATAATGACTTTTCTATTAATCGAGTATCTCTCCATTAATTAAGCAAAAAATATTAAACAAAAGCAACTATGACTGATCCTCCACTATGTTGTGAGTGGATCCGTTACAAAACGTAGTGCTGACATGCAAGTCACGTGCATTACATACGAAATTTCACCCCGTGAATGTCTTATTTTGCCGATTATTGTCCCATATATTTTATTTTGTTTACATTTGACCCATAACTTTTCTAATTACAATTATTTCCATACAGTAGCCTCCTCGTAAGAAATGATTATGCGGAACATTCAGACTTCGACCGGTTGGTTGACACGGGGATTCTGACCACCATAAGCTCAAAGCCATAGTTAAGAACAATTCAAAGTGATCTTCTCGTTTCACCAAAACAAATTGGTCCACGACTAATCAAAACATGTTTCCTTACTTCAAAGAGATGTAATAAACATATATAGTTAAACCTGCTTCATAATAACACTGAACATAGTTTAATAAAAGTGAAAATATTTCATATGCTAATGTCTTTTTCGGACAAACTGTGACTTGGTCTTTCACTTCTTCTGCTCCATTTGTTGATTTCCTGAGGTTTCTGTCTCTGCAACGAGACGAGCACTCTCCTTCTCAAAGAAATCGAATTCTTGAAGAATCTTAGCGAGCTTTGTGGCGTTGTCTTCTTTAATGTTTGCAGGGACCTTCTCTTCGTACCCAGACACACTCATCATCTTCTGCAACTTCTCTTTTTGTCTGATGAAGCAAGAAAATCAAATGTCAAAAGAGACCTACTTTTAGACAAGCATTTTGTTTTGACTAAATCATAGTTTAGGGGATTACTTTTGTAGTTCGTCAATCTTGTTTCTGATCTTTTCTTGCTCAGCTTCTGTGTTAATGGCTCTGTCCACTTTAAGATATACCTTGAGGTTCTCGTTCACCGTCTCAACTGCAGATCCAGCTGGGGCTGCGTGTTCTCCCTTTAACAGAACCTAATACCAAATCCCCATAGAAACTCAGAAAAGAAAACACGAAACAGTAGAGAAACCATATCCAAATGTGGACTTATTTACCTCTAACGATGATAGATTTGCAAGTGTTCTGATCTCCAGCTCGTGAGATTTCACAATTTCAGATGTTACGTTGTTTTCACACAGAGCAAAGGCAGGTAACCTGAGATTAAAAAAAATGTAAAAAGTCAAAACAGAGATTCTGTTAATGACTGTATAATCGAAAATGATAGATGGTTATAGAAATGGGCTTTAGTCAGACCTTTCATTTTTCTGTTTCTCCAGCAACTCTGCACGGAGAGCCCTCAGGCACTTCACACTCGCTAGAACGGTTTCCATTTCAGTCTCCACTTTTTCATTTGTCCAATTCTGAGCTCATGACATCAGACATCAGAAGAAAAGAGTTAGAAAAAACTATGATCTGCAAATTACTAAGAATATCGTACTGACCTCTATAGCAGAGGGGTAGTCACATATCATGATAGACGCCTTTCTTTCAGAGTTTTTGGGTGAAGGCAACCGTTGCCATAGCTCTTCAGTAACGAAAGGCATCAGAGGGTGAAGCAGTCTCAAACCAGTCTCCAACGATACCCATAGAGCATGTTGTGCATGAGCTCTCTCTGAAGCAAAAGCCGGGTTGTCACCAGCAAAATAAGGCTTGATGGCTTCAATGTAAACATCACAGAACTGATACTGCCACCATGCATATACTGTGTTGGCTGCATCCGAGAACTCAAATGCGTTCAGTGACTCCACCGTCTTTGATATTGCTTTATTTAGTACAGAGAGAATCCATTGGCAGCTGAATGGCATCGTTTCAGGGCTCAGAGTCAGCGGAGGGGAATAATCATCTCCAAGCCTCATCATCGCGAATCTGACAGCGTTCCAAAGCTTGTTACACCATTGACGGTAACCAACCACTCGGAGGATGTCCAAGTTTATTTTGTCAGACTATAAAACAAGCAAGAGTAGAGCAATATTCTTAGTTTACAAGATCATAAACTGAAGGAGCAAATAAGAGGTTGTGAGGCTGCGTGCAATGGATAGTACCTGAGCAGTGTAAGAGACGAGTGCAAACCGAAGAGCATCAGCACCACATTCAGAAATACCATTTGGAAAGTCCTTCACTTGTCCTTCTTTGGCAACAACCAGCTCTTTTGGATCCAAGTTACCCTCTTCTAATCTCTTATGTAGGCCATCAAGAGTTACCCCGTTTATTACTTCAAGCGGATCAATGACATTTCCAAGAGATTTTGACATCTTACGCCCATGTGCATCACGTATCATAGGATGCAAATAAACCTACAGCAAGTACAACACATACGTTTAGGTATTTAACGACAGGTCACAAGATAAGATTTGGCATCTGTTAAGAAGGGAAACATTGCAGTCTAACTTAAAATTTACACGTACCTGACTGAATGGAACGTCACCACCTAGTTTCATTCCCATCATAACCATACGAGCAACCCAAAAAAAGAGAATATCATGCCCGGTTTCTAGGACAGATGTTGGATAGAAGGCTTTGAAGTCCTCAGTTTCATCAGGCCATCCCAGAACGGATAATGGAAAGAGCCCAGAAGAAAACCACGTGTCAAGTACATCATGATCTTGAGTGAGTTCAAATTTCTTCCCGGAAAATTTTTCAGCAGCCTCTGTTCGAGCTTCTTCCTCGGTTCTTGCAACAACCCAATGGTCACTGTACGCACCGATCTCCTTGCGCTCATCTTCCTCTAGTGCTGCATACCATGCTGGAATTCGGTGGCCCCACCAAAGTTGTCTTGAAATACACCAGTCACGTATGTTCTCTAGCCATCTGTTAAGGTTCATTGACATTATTAATAGATCCTGTCATGATAGAACCATAGAGAAAATGATAAATGAAAGAAACCTTCTCCACTCTGCCGTGTACTGCTTTGGTATAAACTCGAGCTTCTTGTTTTCGTCAGTGATAGCAACATCGAGAGCCTCCTTTGCAATCATGCTGCAGTTGACGTACCACTGAGGCTTAATCATAGGCTCAAGAACATCACCGGTTCTTTGGCAAAGTCCAAGCCTCATTTCATTATTTTGAGCACCTCTGTACAGCCCCTGAAATATATACATATAAAAATGAAAGAAACAGTTAAAGTAAGATATGAAAGACACCTAAAAGCAACCACCCTCGGTAACAATATCTTCTCAAACGAAGAATCAAGTTGCTATGATTTGTTACGTGAAGTATTAACGAATTACCTTATTCTTCAAAGCTTCAACAACTGCCTCACGCGCTGCAAAGCGTGGCATCCCTGTGAAGTCAGACCCGCCATTTGTGTTGATTTTTCCATCATCCGTTAATATGTTTATAAATTCAAGATTGTGACGCTTTCCGACTTCACAATCATTGGGGTCATGAGCAGGAGTGATCTACAAAAGAAGAATAACGCAACTTTAACGCAAGTAAATCAAATAAAAGAGGCAGAAACATAGCATCGAAATATATAAGAGTGAGCATGTACCTTAACACAACCAGTACCAAAGTTTGGATCAACAAGTATTCCATCACAGACAATTGGTAACCTCCGCCCATTAAATGGATGTACAGCAAATTTTCCGTGAAGATGCTTGTATCTTGCATCATCAGGATGAATAGCAATGGCAGTATCCCCAAGCATTGTTTCCACCCTAGTAGTGGCAACAACAACCTCTCCCAAGCCTCCCTCCAGAGGGTAAGCAAATGAAGTAAGAAGACCAAATTCTACAGGCTTCTCATAGCCAGGAACTTTTACTAGCGTTTTCTCTTTGATATCGATATGGTCAATCTACATGTAAATAGGCACACTCAGCATAAAATAAATGCCGTCTAATGATAATAGTCTAACAGTTGTTACCTCAACGTCAGATACGGCTGTTTTCAAAACACAATCCCAATTAACAAGTCGAACATCCCTGCACAAGTTCACATGTTCTTTCAATCAACAAAGTAACTAAAGAAAGTAAAATAGTACTACTCCTAGTTTTTTCTACATTCCTGTTTCCAAGTATTTTTTACAAAGGGAACTCTATAGCCTCAAAGAACAATGTCAGACTTAACAAACCTATAGATAAGCCCTTCCTTGTAGAACCGTACAAAGCCCTCAGTGACAGCTTTTGATCTTTGCTCATCCATTGTAAAACACTACAGAATACACGCAGAAACACATCTGTTAAATAAATACCCCAGAGACACAGGTGAAGATTAAAGGTCTATTTTATATTAAGTTCCCTAGTGACGAAATAAAATAAACAATGCCAATTTTCCATAACATTTTTCCAGCAAAGGTCGGATCACCAAACTTTACCTCACGAGACCAATCAAGAGAAGCTCCTAGACGCCGTAGTTGTGTTAGAATCGTGCCACCTTTTTCGTTCTTCCACTTCCACACCTTTTACATGTTCATATATGAATAACATGATTTTTATAAACAATGCAAGTATGAAAAATTATTCGTGAGCTTAGTTTTATTTTCAACTTACTTCATTTATGAACTCTCCACGGCCAACGTCATGCCTAGTCAATCCTCTTTCCTTCATGAGCTGTTTCTCAACCACAACCTAGAATGTACATCCAATCAAATAGAATAAAACAATGTGCAAAAAAAATATTTTACAACCATGCCAAAAGAAGAATTTTGCTCCATAGGCTAAACTTATAGTGGCGAACCTGTGTAGCTATACCAGCATGGTCCATCCCGGGCACCCACAAAGCAT